TTTTGGTAGTAGTTGTATTTTATGTTCTCTTAAGAAAACAAAGATAATCTTTGTAGAATATCATCGGATTATGAATTTTCAAAATTTCCTGAGATAAAGACAACAGATAATTCAAAAATTTACAAATTAAAATATGTACTTATCGGTAAAAATGGTATCAAGGTCCATGAGATATTATTTCATCTGTAATTTCGATTTGCAATATTGAATTTGCTATAAATTATTTGGATCTTTTAATTAAAATATATTTACTATAAGTCTATCGAGAGATAGATCTGTGATAAACTGTTAAAATCTGCATAGTAGAGTTTATCAATATTTATAACGTAAGAAGTGGAAAATTATGTAATAATTAACTGATATGATAGGAATATTCAAATGTTCAATAATTGTAATATTCATTACCAAATACTATACAAATTCTGTTAACAATTTGTTGATTCAGTTGTTAAATCGATAGCAAATATGTTACGCTTATGCAATATACATATGAAAATAATATGAATATAATCATGTACGGATATGTATATGATTTGTTATATTACTTTCCAGATATCTGCTTATTATTTAGAACAAAGTGCAATGTTTCGGTCAACATGGAAATTAGAGAGGACAAATGCGTCGTATCAAAAAATGTCATTGGACTGATAAAAACCAAATCCAAGAAGACATAATATAGAAATAAAAATAGTAGTGTATGGCATCGTGCAAATTGCTGGAACTTTCCGTACTGTAATGAAATATTTGAGGAATATTAAATGTTTTCAATTAAATTAGATTAATATAAATGCTGTAACATTGTCTGATATTTGTAAGAATTATATAAACTGAATTACAAAGTTAAAATTATTTATTTAAAGTATATAAGTGAGTTTCAGAACTTTTAGCCAGAATTAAAATTAAAATCTGAATTATTTTCGATATACAAAAAAAAAAAAAATTAAAAAAAAAATAATTTTCAAAAAAAAATTTTTTCAAAAGCTTTTTTTGTCAACAAAATCAGAAAATTTTTTGAATCATTCAAATCGGATGCTTAGTTCTCTCAAAAACTAACATTTTTTGTATATTTAGCTCTGTATCTTCGAAATGACTGGACCTGCCTTTGCCAAAAACTAATCACCACTTCTCCTGATCATTACAAATTGAATGTTTTTGTTGGTTCATTCAAGTCGGATAGTCCGTTCTCTCAAAAACTCGATTTCTATTTTCTTCTGCACTCTTTGCTCCGTAACTCCAAAACGGCTGGACCGACTTTTGCCAAAAACTACTCAACGCATCTCCTTATTTGAATATGTATTTAAAAAAATTAATATCAAAATATCCAAAAAAACATTCAATTCGTAATGATTGGGAGAAGTGGTGATTAGTTTTTGTCAAAGGCAGGTCCAGCGGTTTGGGAGATACGGAGCAAAATGTGCAAAAATGGCAGTTTTTGAGAGAAATAAGCATCCGATTTGAAAGGGTCAAAAAACTTTCTGCTGCGTTGATAAAACGATTTTTTTTTGGGAAAAAATTTAATTCAATTTCTTTTTGATTATAGAAAATAATTCATGTTTTCAAAATTTTATTTCGGTACGAGAAGTTCCAGCAATTTGCTTCAAGGAACGATGCCACACATCACTAGTTTATAAGTTTAATATTCATTAGATAGTATTTCAATAAAAGCGTATGTAAACTCAAGATAGTTATACAAGTTTCTTACAATTGAAAGGAATTCTGTATGTAAAAAATTATAAATAAAATAAATAAAATGTTTAAGATGATTGGAACCCAAACGATTGTTCTATCTTATTTTCCCTTGGAAACATATTTATTGCTATCTATATATCCAAGTGAAAACCGATGGCACTGCTGCTTGATATCAGGCTGTCCGAAGTGGGTAACGACCTCTGCTTCGAAGGCCATGTGAAAGCCAATCTAGAGTTTAATTTACTGAATTTTGTTTATAAAGTACACGACAATGGTAGTTGATCAATATTTTTCTTCATCGGATTCCAATGCATATAACAATGGATATTTAGATTTAGCCGCGGAAATTTCTATTCCATGTTTGCATGTATTATGTTTACGAAAGCAAGAAATATGTGAGACTAACCATGGCACTTTGTTTGTTTACAAATTGTTCTATTACAGGATGTTTTTTAAAATAAGTTCATGTAAACGAATTTCGCCGCGAACGATAATACGTAGAGTTCAATTATTAAATAAAATATTTACAGAAGATTTCGAATTCGGATTTGAATGTAACATTGAACAAACGATTATGCAAGCCACATTATTGGTGCCACAAAGCGTTTTGTATAAACATTGCCTGATTGAATCAATTTTAATAAATGTAGACCAATTTATAATAACAGATCCGCAGTTTGAAGGAACGGAATATATTTAAATAAATAAATCATCATAAACTAAATCTCGGTTTGGACTATAAATTTTGTAAAGAATTTGGTGATTAGTCTCCCATACCTCAGTCTATGCGTTTTTACGTTTCTGAACTGTAGGGATTATAACATTTTAAAATATTAAATATTTTTAGTAAATCTTATATATACATTATAATTTACAATTGTCTTTAGTAGATATCTAGCAAATATAAATAAAATATAAAAAATAGATGACTAGCAATAAGTAGAAGTAGAAATACAATTGAGTAAGAGTATCCTATAGAAAAACTAAAAAAATGGATATAAAATTAAATTTATCTGAAGTAGCAGATGATTTTACGCTAAAATTTATGTCTAATATAAATAAGAGCGGTTGACCACTGGGTTGTCCTTTTGAGAACAATATATCCAGGCTATTTTTTTTTATTTCATTAAGTAATTACAACTGTCTATAAATATGACATCTAGTAATTTTTTTGGTTAATATAAATAGAAAGGGCATATCAGGCCGCCCAGTGGTGGTCCAAATATTATTGTTGTTAATCCAGGCTAAGATGTACGTCAGAATAACGACTCATAAAACACGTAGTTATGATTGCTGTTCAAATAAAATATTTTTTTTAAAAAAAGTAGCAGATATCTAGTGGATATGTTCCTTCAGTTTTTTTTAAATTCAACAGCCAAAAGTAAAACTTATGTCTGCAGATACTGATGAAGTTCCCTTTTTGTAAAATTTAATTATAAAAGTAAAAAACAAAGAAATTAAGTTGTTCATTAATATTGTATGATTATTTTAGCAAAATTAGCAGCCAAAAATTAAAAAAAATATATGATTTATTCTTAAATTTAATCTAAATATCATGTAAATCTTATATACAAAGATTTCACCATTCGAGAAGTTTATTTCATTAAGTATTATTTTTTTCTTGACTAATTTAGTTTAGATTTGGCAAGCGTGCAAAATATAATTTTACATATGTATAACTCGTATTCGACTTTTGATTAATTGCAATGTATTTTTTATTATTACAATGTATTTGTTTTTAGTAGCAGTTATTACCGTTTATACACTTTATTATTAACTGTATTTGGCAAATTAATAACATTCTTTAATTGCTTACTCAGTGAAATAAGGAGTGTATTTTTATATCAGTCATCCAAAGTAAATTTTAGAAAAACTTTTAAAATTTTTACTTTCTAAGACTAGAATGCTATTGCGCTTAGCAAGTCATTTTTTGTTAGTTTTTTGTCATTGTATACTTTGTGATATCATCAAAGTTATTTCATAAAATATAAAATTCTGGTTTAGTAACAAGTAGTCTTTTTATTTTTTCAAAATTTCCATAAGCAAAATTTAAAATTCTCAATAATTTATTTTGTTCAAAGTTCTAAAAAGATTTGATTTAAAAAATAATAATAATAATTTTTGTTACAAAAAGTTCCAGCAATTTGCCTTAATGCACGATGCCACGCACCCCTAGTTACACAATTAATTAACTTCCCGTAGGGCAAGTTATAGTAATAAAAAAAATCGAATATGAAAATTTTTATATGTCCTTACGTTTCAAAGGTTTCTGAACATTTTGGCATACCTTAGAAAAAAATGGATGTATGTGCGTGTATGTTTGTATGTGTGTGTGGGTCTGTGCGGATACAAATTTGCGTCAACGATTTCGGAAACACGGATCAACCGATTTGAATAATTCAAAAAACATTCGATTTGCATTGATAAAGAGACGTGCTGATTAGTTTTTGACGAAGGCAGGTCTATCTGTTCCAAAGATAGGGGGCAAAAAGTGCCAAAAATGGTAACTCAGATTTTAAGAGAACGGAGCGTTCGATTTTAATAATTCAAAAAACATTTTACTTGTATTGACAAGATGAACTGATTAAATTTTTGGGAAGGCAGGTCTAGCGGTTATAGACTCTCAATAAAAATAAGAACCTCAATAAATGTTTATTCGACTTATGCACATCAAATTATCAGATATTTTATAGAGATTTTAATAATGTGTACACATTTTGTGTAATTTTTTTGGATTCCGTACCAATATTTTTAATTACGGTACGGGAAGTTCCAGCAATTTGCCTTAACGCACGATGCCATGCACCCCACTAGTTATTCATTGTGTTTGCATATATTATATGACAGTTATCAAAAAATAATAAGTAAATATCCCCATAAACAACTTTCCTTAATTCCAATAAATAAAAAAATAAATTCCAACGCAATAAATAATTTTATATCTTGAATCCTCCCCTAATCCAATTCGGCCCTGTACGCAAAATTATGAACACCCATCATGCATTTATGTTGTAACAGTATCACATACGCAGATAACATTTTAATATGAAATATATTATAATTTACCGAAAAAAAATGTTAAATGGGAAACAAACAAAAATCACATGATTAGAATTTAATAGAATACAAGCACCATATGCGCGTATTAAGGAGATAACAACAAAAATAAATCCAATAATAATACATCATCAGAATAATAATAATACATTTATTAAAATAGTTTAATATAATTCTAAATATGAATTTTTTTATGGATCTAAATACGAAAGCAAAATGAGTACACAATATTGAATATCATTCAATTACCTTACCTTGTTATGCGGTTCAACAGGTGTTTTGCAACTTTCTACAATTTCACTATCACTACATAAATATCATACGAAGTGCACACGTTTTTTTAAAAATTTTGTTACAAAATTTAATTAGTTATTTTTATATGTGATTTGAATTAAAAACAAAATTTATTATCACAGCAGATACTAACTACAGAGTTGAAGTGATTATGATTGCTGCAATCTCTAAAGACACATTCCAGACTGACAGGTTCTCACAGCAAAACTGAATGTGACGTGTGACGAACTTCAATGTACTAAAATGTGGCGCCATCTGATTTAAATTCAAATCGTCGAGAATAGAACAGAGTTTAAAAATAATTTTAAAGTATGAAATATATAAATACTTTTAAGTGTTTCGTACGTACGCGTTCGTACTACACTCCGTCCGTTTTTCTTTCCGCCTTGTCTGCTTGGGAGAAGTCCATAAATCACGTGATCGATTTTAAAAAAGTTTTGGAACCCTTTTCCACCCTTAGTAACACGTGGTAATATTTAAATTTTTTTTTTCACAACTCCACCACCGACCTTCAACAGTATTTTTACCACCTAGAAAAAATCGTTAATGAAACATTTTTCGCAATTTTTTGGAAAATTTTAGATTTTTCTTAATTCAGGTAAAAAGTAATTACAAGTGATATCTTTTTCATTTATTTATTTATCTTATTTTTAACTATATCTCTCTCTCCCCCACATGATATTTTGTGATTTTTTGTCAAACCCCCCCTCCCCCTAAAAACCTCACGTAATTAATGGACGCCCTCTTGCCTGCTTGGGCGACGTCCATAAATCACGTCATCGATTTAAAGAATTTTTGGAACCCTTTTCCACCCTTAGTAACACGTGGTAATATTTAAACTTTTTCTCCCGCTACTCCACCAACAACCATCAACTATATTTTTACCACCTAGAAAAAAACGTTAATGAAACATTTTTTGCAATTGTTTGGAAAATTTTGATTTTTTTTATAATTTCAGGTAAAAAGTTTTTACACGTGATATCTTACTATACCGCTCCCCTCCTCACGTGATATTTCGTGATTATTTGTCAACCCCCCTTGCCTGTTAGGGCGGCGTCCATTAATCACGTGATCGATTCTAAAGAATTTTTGAAACCCCTTTCCACCCTTAGTAACACGTGGTAATATTCAAATTTTTTCCCCCACCCCTCCACCAACGACCTTCAACTGTATTTTTACCTTAATGAAACATTTTTCGCAATTTTTTGGATTTTTTTTTAAATTCAGGTAGTAATAACACGTGATATCTTACTATATCCCTCTCTTCCCCATGTTTTATTTTGTGATTTTTTGTCAAACCCCCCCCCCATCCCCTAAAACCTCACGTGATTAATGAACGCCTCCTTGCCTGCTTGGGTGGCGTCCATTAATCACATGATCGATTTTAAAGAATTTTTGGAACCTTTTTCCACCCTTAGTAACACATGATAATATTTAAACTTTTTCTCCCGCCACTCCACCAACAACCATCAACTGTATTTTTACCACCTAGAAAAAAACGTTAATGAAACATTTTTCGCAATTGTTTGGAAAATTTGGATTTTTTTTATAATTTCAGGTAAAAAGTTTTTACACGTGATATCTTACTATACCTCTCTTTCTCCCACATGATATTTTGTGATTTTCTGTCAAACCCCCCTTAATCACGTGATCGATTTTAAAGAATTTCTGGAACCCTTTTACACCCTTAGTAACAACACGTGGCAACAATAAACTTTGCCACCCCCTCCCATCACTCCACCGACGACCATCTAGGGTAAAAAAACGTAAAATTTTTGTATTTTTTATTTAAATTTTGATTTTTTTCAAATTTAGGTAAAAAGTGATTACGCGTGATATCTTACTACATCCCCTTTGTGATTTTTGGTCAACCCCCTCCCTCTATTTTAAGCCTCACGTGATTAATGGACGACCCTTGTCTACGTATCCACAACCATGCACAAAAACGAAAGTTACGGGTAGGGAAACCTCTCGGACAGCCTGGTGTCAAGCAGTAGTAGCATCTGTTTTTACATGTAAATATAGATAGAAATATGTTTTAGAGTGTTTATTTAATTATCACTAGTGCAGAAATTTTAGCAATAAAATTAATCAAATAGAGATAGAGGTTAATTAATCGCGTGAGCGATTACTAAGAATTTTTTGGTGATACCTTGTGATATTTAAAATTACCTTTTCATCCTCCCCCACACAACATCACGTGTATTCTTAGTACCTAGAAAAAACCATTTTTTTTGCATTTTTTTTAATTGAGGTAAAAATTAAAAATACATGTGATATCTTACTAGACTCTTCCTTCCTCCACGTGATATTTAGTGATTTTTTGTCAACCCCCTTTAAGGCTCGCGTGATTAATGAACGTCTCATCGTGCCTTAAGGCAAATTGCTGGAACCTTCCGTACCGTAATTTGAAATTTTTTATATTTTTTTAAAACTTACAAAAATGCATTTTTGGAAATTTTGAAAGTTTTGAGACGTTTTAGAAAATTTTGTATTTTTTTTTTTGAAAATTTCGCTTTTTTGTCATTATTGATAAAATTCTACTCTTTGAAAATTTTAATACCCATTCAAGTCGGTTGAACCATACTATCAAAAATGTCGAAGACATTTGTTGGAACTATATAAGTAAAATTTAAACATCTTAAATCTTCATTTTTTATTTTTTTGCGATTACTATAGCTGACCCCTGGGACGTTAGAAAGGTAAAATTAGAAAATCGGATTATCTGGCGAAAACAAACTTCTTCGGAAAGTTATTAATTTCATGTTTCGCATAGTAATAATAAAACCATTACAAATGAAAACTATTTACAGTATTCCGAGTAATTACACAATGCCTTCTGAAATCATATGACTTACTGACGCATTACAAGTTACAACCTAATTAATTATACATCACGTGGAGTTACTTTGGTCTTTGGAATCATCTTCATAATTTGTAAGAAAGTAACTCTCAATATATGTATTTTATTACTTCTGAATAATAAAACCAGAATGTTTAAAAAATAATACATAAAATAATAGATTTTGTGTAACTTATCTATGTAAATCTATGTACAATTGAAAAATTCAATTCAGCTACTGTATTGAAAATTTCAATTACTGCAAATTGTATTTTATTTTGTAATACATGATATTGAGTCAGAAAAATTCGCTAATTTTTCAGTTTATATGAGTGAATAATTTTGCAATAATTTATAAAATTGCTACTAAACTCGCTGGTTTAACATAAATTGAATATTTTTTTAACTAAATGCTTTCTTTGTATATCTTATATAATTAGAATAATTTTTACTCTCTTCATATATTTTTTGAAAAAAGTGTCGGATTTTTTAATGATAAATACATATTTCTTGTTAGATAAATTATATTTCAGTACAATAACAAGATCTATAATCACTAATTAAAATTCAGTTCATGTTTAAACAAAATATAATACCTACAGTTTTTTAAATTTAAATTATAATTTCAATAATTAAGTACATAATACTAATTAAGTAATATTGTTAAAAAAAAATATTTTCTTTATGAAAGAAAGTGATTCATCTAAAATTTCAACTACTATAAATAAGCTATGTATATAAGCTTTTTGTATATTTATAGACTTTGTACATCTAACAACATGGTTAAACCATTTAATATATTATACTTTCAACAACAATCTAATATTGTTTCTTAAAGAGAAACATCACATATATTAGAAACAATTTGCTATTCGTAATCATTTTGCTTAGAAACTCATAAAACACCGAATAAGCACATAATACTGAGTACATTAAAATTAATAAATTTTAAGCTTTTTAAATGGCCTAACATTTTTGACTAAAAATTAGAGTTACAGTTGCTTATAACAAGCACACTTACAACTACACAATAACTTCATATATTAGTTTTTCTTTCTATACCAATAATATATTTTTTCATCTTATCACTTATCGTCTGATATGTATATATATATATAATTTCAAATAATTGAACATTTTGATATGTATCTTATTTTAGCCTTTTAACGTGTATTTTTAGTAGTAAGTCATTAAAACTAACATGATCTCTAAATATAATTTTGATATCAAGCATCGTTGGTGGAGGAGTATTTACATTTAATGTAAAAATATGCTTTGTTAGAAATTTCTTATAATTCTCATATAGAGCAACGTTTTCCAAATTGAAAAAATATATTAGAATAATATTATATTATTTCATCGATCTTTGCTTTGGGTGCTAACACACACACGATTGAACATTTTATTCACATATTTTATTGTATAATAGTGTTTCCTCGAAAAAAAAAATTAAGAAAATCTTCGAGCCAATCTAGAATTTTCAAATTTCCGAATTTTTTTAATAGTGTAATAACACACCATATAAATTTAATTACTTAACAGTACATTTGCTGACATTTATGAACTATGCCCATACAATTGAAATGTACTTGTGATTAATTTTTCAACCTTTAATGATGATTTTTAATGTTTTACTAAAAACCTCATTAAGTAGTTAGTACTTATTTTTATAATCGATACACTGTTAAACAACACATTTGTTTAAGTTCACAATACAAGCAGCATCATTTAAGAAATCTCATATAAAATAATAATTCATTTTGCAATCTATGGAGCAAATTCTTCTACTCCTTTCTTCATATAAATTGCCAAAATTCTATGTATTTGCTGTGCCATCAGGTGTTTTACACATAAAATCTAACTTCACGTATGTGTTATCATGACACATCAGAAAGATGCAGTTATGATAACATTTGTTTTTAACGTTTGTGCGTTTTCTAGGTTAGTTTTATACCTAAAACGCCTGACTGGACACCAAATACATAGCATTTTGACAGTTTTTACTACCAATTTATACGAAGAAAAAGTTGCCATAACGACGCTATGTTACGATTTATTTTTTCGGAAAATTGACCCCTATATATTTTTATTTATAATTTATTGCACCGATAACATCAATCCAAAAGGAGCTAGTTGAAAACTCATTTTACTTCTTTTATCAAATACTTTTTGACAAAGTTTTAAATTCTTAATCAGTGATGTCGATTTATAAAATAATAACAATAATCAGTAGAATACTAAAATATTAAATTTAATATTTTTGAGTAAAACGAACAATTTTATCGTTTTGGAAAACGTTGACATACTACATGATTTTGCTAACACATTATGCGAATATACATATAAATGTAACATGTCATATATTAGGGTGGTCCTTAATATGGATTTTTTTAAATTGCCTTGCTCCCGGAGGCTCAAATGATTCCAAAATGATAAAAAAAGTTCTATGAAAGTTTTAGCTCTCATTATTAACTTTAAAATAGTTCGCACTCCAACCAAATTTTCGTGGTTCTTCTTCCTAAGTAATTACTTATTTTATAAAATATATCAAATTTCTGTTATATTTTTTTTTATTTGTGATCAAAATAAGCAAATGCAATGTTATTCTAAAAATTTTGATTCACTTGTCGCTAAGTTATAAAGTCTAAAGTACAAATGGATTTTTACCCATGTTATTTTTGTAAGAAACTTTGGTTGCGGACTATCTAAAAGTTAATATTAAGAGCTAAAACTTTCAGAGAATTTTTTTTTATCAATTTGGAAGTATTTGAGCCCCTGAGAGCAAAGAAATTCAAAATTATCCATATAAAAGAACTTCCCATATATATAATAACATATCTATATAATTTAGCTACTTATCCATATAGCTTATTTAGCTCATGATGGTTGATATCCCATATAGCTAATATTTTCAACTACTTCCTTTAAAATCCTATTAGACAATAAGGTACATTTTGATATGTTTGAGTACTTTCTCAGTTAAAATCTTCTGATTTCAAGAAAGATCTAATCTTAAGTGTAGATATTTTTATATAAATAGAAGTCTCTATTACATTAATAGTATTAAGGGTACGTTTACATTCATAAATATATATTTACTGAATCTCTAACATTTAAGAGAATTAACACAAAAGACGTAAATAACACACGTAAACTGCTTTTAAATAGATATGCGTTTAACACGTGTATATAAAACATATAATATTTTTACAAAATTCATTCAAAGATAATGACTTCGTCAGATTTATCACAACTAAATTCTATTATAAAATAAACTATATGAAAATTCAAACAATTAATAATATCCTCAATAAATCGCAGAAAGTTTAGGTCCATACTAGTAACTTATTACAGTATAAAGTAAAATATTGTATATGTAAGCCTAGCAAATACAATAAGAATTCTTAACCTAATTGCTCGCTTACACCAGCTTTATTTCGAAATAAATACTTTTATATTTTTATTAATCTTTAGTCTGGCTTTATTTGAATTTGATATATTTAATAGCCAATATAGAATAAATGATATTAAAATATATTTTTTTCAATATAATTTGTAGCTATAAAAATTTGATATGTATTTGTATTTGTGTTTTAAATTGTTATTCCTATTACTGTACCCATCAGGAACCCTTCAACCAAGTTTGGCATGTGTAAAAATTATAATGCATTGAAATAACTTATAGATCGAAATGGCAGTTTTTCACTCCGGGGCTTTAAAAATTATTTACGTATTTTACACTTACATTAGACGATTTTGAATACATCTCGAATATTTATATGACACGAATAATGGACGTTCAGTTAATTTGTTCTCATTCACATCTTATCTTTTCATTATTTTTATTATTTTTATCAAGTGATTAAAATGCATTTTAACATTTACACTTGCTCAATTCGAATTTCGGCCTAGGCGTCGGTCAACAGTTCGCGCATTTCTGTTAGTGCCTCGCTCAGGGCGCGAGAGAGGTTGGCGGTGGAGGTGTGCTCGGCGCTCTGGAAAGCCGACAGACAAAACACGATCTCGTTGGGGCGAGGGTTGTAAGACGCCCCATAACCGGCGGGGGTCACGGGGCCGTAACCCATGAAGCTGTCGGATTTGCAGGCAACCTGGGTAAAGGTTTATTTTCTTACACTCAATTGTAATTTAATTAATCAAAAACATAATTTTGATAAACCTTCATCAAACCTTTTCATTGTTCGAGCACACAGAATGTTATTTTGTTTTTGTTATTTGATCATTAAGTTTTTGTTTATCATCACAAAATGCGGTAACAAAATACATGTGATATCTCCAGGGCTGGTCTTGGGGACCTCAGCGGTCGCACGCCATTTTTTTCTAGCGCCCCACCCCCTACTAATTTTATCATCAAAATTATATGAACAATTACGTTAATTTTTTTAAATACTTTTTAATAATTCTGGATTTAGTACACAAAAACTTAGATACATATAATCTAATCAAAAATTTTACGTTAATTTTTTTAAATACTTTTTTATAATTCTGGATTCAGTACACAAAAATTAGATATAATCTAATCTATAAGCGCATAAAATACATTGATTTTAAATTTATTTAGAAGAGGAGATTCGCGGGTTGCTCATAATCAAATTGTCGTGTCTTCTTTCGTTTTTTCATTAACAAACTACTTTTAAATTCTTCAAAAAAACTTTACAGGACATCCAAAAATTTCAGTAAGTTTGGTATTGCTTGCAAGAATATTTAAATTTTCAATTATTTCTAACGTATGTGTAATATTAATATTTGCGTTTTAAAACATTTTACTTATTTATTTTGGGGGTTTTATGCGATTTATTCTATTGAGTAAATCATAAAGAACGCAAATTTCTAGTTTTTCATTATTAAAAATAAAACTAGTACTTTTGGATTGGATTGCTTGTTGGATTGTTTTAGTTTAGTTTTTCCATATTTAAAATGTTAAAAATTGAATTGTAAACTTCTAATTGATATCGTAAGGACCGAATTAAATGTATTCATCTTTACTTTCCCATTGTGTTTAATATTGTTGTTTCACAGTTAAATTTTTAACGTATTTTGAAAATATTGCGCAAACATTAGTAAAAGATGCAAAGAAATTATATATTTCTTGAATAATATTAAAAAAACTATTATAAATTTTATATCCGAATCTCATGTTGGCGCCCCCTGAGGCGTGCGCCCGCATTTGTTGCAGGCATCGCATACAATGTAGGACCAACCCTGAATATCTCATATCAATCAATTATTTTGAATAGTGTACCCTGGATATCGCATATCAATCAATTATTTTGAATAATGTAGGGCACAATAGTCCAAATTGTAGTAATTATAATGTTTAGGCTAGGTGATAATATCACAACACATAACACCTATTAAACAAACAAGTATCGAACTATATTCAGTGAAATTCCCAGTTGATTGCTAATTATATAAATTTGTCATCTATTTCTTTTTACTTCATATGCGGGGCAAAAAGGGACAGTCAGTGGCTAATGACTCAATGACTTATCTCATTTTAAAAGGATTTCAAAAAATAAGAGCTACATTATTCAATCACTGCAAAATTCAAGTTTCTTGGGCAAGTTTTTTACAAAGACCACACTGTATTAAAACTTGATACTTGATAAACCTGGTATTTTGACAGAAATATTCATTAGCAAAGTTGAAATAACTATTAATTTGATATATCTCTTCTAAATATGTTTTTTTAATTCATTTTGCTTTTTTATTTATTATATCCTATACAATACAATACAAGCAATTGCCCATGAACCAAAAAGAAGAACTTGCTCGAAACAGTTGTAACAGTGAAATTCGCCAGAAAAATGTGATGCAGTATGTGTGAAGAGATTTTATAGAAGTTGATTGTTTCTCAGCTTTTCCAGGATAACATAACGGTTAATTCGGATGCCTTATGTCATCAGGTGGATAAACTGAATTATGTACTTCAATAGAAAAGGTCAGAATTAATCCACAAGCGAGGTATAGTGAAACAAGACCACACATAAGTTTGGTTAATTGCCAAAAGTTTTTATAGCTTGAATAAGATCCAATGCCACATTTTCCAAACCTGCTATTATCGGATCAGTATTTGTTCCGGTTCCTCAAAAAATGTTTAGGTGGTAAAACTTTCACCTCAAATGAGGAACTTAAAAGCATTTCGATCAGTGTTTTGCCAATAACGACCAAAACAATCGGAATTATGCTAATACCAGAAATATGACAAAAACTGTTCGGTGAAAACAACCATTACATAATTCATTAAAGTACTTGTTTTTTGTACGAAAATTACGTGCCAAAATGTCTATAGAAAACAAAGTTACTTTCCTAAAAACCAAATAAATAAATCATAGGTGTATTATTAAATTGCATGCAGAACTTAAGTCCTTTAAGACTTTAAGTTATTGTTATTCATTACCTGGCTAGTAGACAAGGTGAAAGTGTTAGCAACTTTATAAGATTCATCTGTGAAGATTTCAGGAAGAACAGGATTTCTGGCCCTGGCTGCCTCCCTCAATCCTAACAGATGTACATCTATGCCTTGACCTAGGATATTATCCAACATGGTCTTAGTCTGCACAGCTACTGCGGCATGGAATAGTTCACGCCTTTCCTGAACCTATAAAATTATATAAAACAGGATTGTAATGATTTGGAAATTGAAACTATTCTGAATACATTTAACATATCCAAATTCAACAACAATAAAAACACCAAGAATAAGGTAATTTTAATAAAATATTACATTTATAAACGAGCTGAGGTAATTTGATGTTTCAAATATGAAGTCACATAATAAAACATATACAATTCAGATAATTGGAAGAATTGGAAGATCACTTCAAGTACTTTGGAAGCATCTTAACTAAGGTCGGGTGTTACAAATGGTTTTTACGAAATATTAAAGAAAAAATGCATATGATAGACGATTTTCGCGAGGAAAAAAACAATGAAAATTGAAAGCCAAAGCACAGGATACAGAAGGCATGAGAGCAAAAATAAAATAATCAAAAAACTAAAAAAAATTAAATGTGATGCTTTATGATTATTGATTTGCTTTCGGGTAGAAAATCAATAATTACCATAACAATATAATCCAAAATCGTATCAACACACAATATTAAGAAGTATCACTAGAAATACTGACAATGAATGATTTGTAACAATTTGGCAAAGAACATATAATATTTATGTATTTAGATATGTGAACACAAAGATTTAGATACATATATATATATATATATATATATATATATATAATATATAATTAAAACAAAATCATCCATAAACCTTTTTTATACATTATTTTTCAAATGTGTAAGTCGTGCAAAATCTACATACATTTTTTTGTAATTTAAATATTATTACGTTTGTGCTTTAGGAATTTAAAACATGCTGAACACAATAATTAAATAACGAAACCATTCATAAAGTTCATCATGACTTGAATATTTAATAAACAATAGTAAAGACATGCTTGGATTTATAGAGTTTGTAGATAAGAAGTACAATTTAGATTCGAAATCACAAAAAATGTAACCTGAATCGCGAGTCATACCTATATAAATAGGTATAACAATATTATCTAGTTAATTAATAGTGTATTTCAATATAACTTAATTGATTACATATGTCCAGTAATTGATGTCCAGAAAATAAAAGAAGTTGTCTGTATTGGATGTTCGACATATGTTTTCCAGTGCACTTTTTAACACTGAACACAAATCTGAAGTCAAAATTGGGGATCAATCTGCAAAAATACAGAGAAAAAGAAAAAATAACGACAAAATCTCCGATCTAGTAATTGTTCTGCATGACGATTAACCCTCCGTAGGTCGAAGGGGTCTGGCCAGACTTTTTTCGACTTCAATTTAAAAAAAATACTTTTAGTAATCCTATCGACTTGAAATTTCTGAACTTTTCCTAAAATTTCATTAGCTGTCGATCAATGAAAAAAGACCACTCTGACCGTTCGAAGGTAAATAAATATCCGACCGACGGAGGGTTAAAATCTTATAATTTCTGTCAATTTTTGGTTTCCATTTTTTCAAATGACCTGAGAAACGAATTTCCGTAAAGCTTTTTCCATATTTATTAAGTTACTTTTTGTAGAATCTAGCAGCAATCTGCAAACATATTTATTCCCTATTGCCTCTGGCTGATCTGCAGAATGTGCTGAACTATGTTTGCAGTTATTTGAAAATATGTTTGCAGATTGCTGTTGGATTCTACAATAGGAAACTCAATGAAGATAAAAAAGGCATTGCAGAAATCCGTTGTACATATCATCTGAGATGAAAAAATATCGGGGAAATTACTAGATCGGAGATATTGTCGTTTTTTTTTCAATCATCTTTGTTTTTTGCAGTTTGACCCCTAATTTAGATGTTAGATTCTTCAAATAACCTGGAAAACGGAACTCTGCAATGCTTTTTCCATATTTATTGAGTTTCTTTATGTAGAATTCTGCAGCAACCTGCAAACATATTTATTTCCTATTATATATAAGAAACTCAATAAATACAAAAAACGTTGCTGAAATCCGTTGCACATGTCATTTATGGTGAAAAAATGCAGAAAAACGATAGAAATAAGACTTCAATCATCATGCAGAAATACTAGATTGGAGATTTCGTCATTTTTTTTTAAAATCATCTTTATTTTTTGCAGTTTGGTCCCATATTTAGATGTTAGATTCTTGTTCAGAGTTAAGAAGTACATTGGAAAACATATGTCGCACACCCAATATAGACAACATTTTTTGTAGACCTGTGTAATTAACCAAAATATAAATGAAAATGACAATAGAGATCAGGAATTTCGATCAAACTATCTGTAAAATTTAATTGATAATTCTGTTATATTTTCCATGATTCCGTTTCATGTGTAATGATCAATGCGAATGATGTAGTATTATCGAGTCGGAATTAGAGTCCCGTCCGCGGTACACTACTGATGGTCAGTGAGTAGGTTCTCATACACTGTATAAGTTGAAAGTTACGCGTTTTCCAGTGACGGAGTCCTCGGAGTTGTTCCTCTGCATCGTGCTGGTGGCATCAGGAGCCTCTCCTTGGCACATGGCCGCCGCCCAACGCAGAGCTGCCATGCTCGCCGATCTGATGCAGTCGACTCTTCCAGGCGAAACGACGGTGGACGCGCTTTCGTAGGTGCTGACCAGGTGACCGTAGAGTCTGAAATGGAAAAATATAGTGAAAAGAGAGTCCCTTGAATACTACTCATATTCAAGCTATTATTCTATAGAGGAGCAAACTTTCCGATAGCTGGTCGGTACAAAACTTTTACATTCTTATGAAAAAGTACGACTATCACCTTTCAAGCTATTACACAAATTTTTATTTGTGTTTTCTATTATTTATCAATAAACAAAATCAAAACAAATAACAATCTATAAGCTATTTTGTTTAAGTTACTCACATAATCATATAAAAACTGTAGCATTGAATAAAGTGTAGAAACTGTTGCAATATACAATTTATAACGTTTGAACGTATTAGGCTGATGAAAAAACATAATACATTTATAACTTAAAACGAACAGCGATCAAATTATTTCATTTGCTACTTATGGGAAATACTGTTCTGTATCATAGTAGAGTCTCAACATTTATTAGATTTATAAAATTCAATTACCTTTACAATATTTATTTATTATCTTCCTGGAGGGTAGGTTATAGTAATAGCAAAAAAATAAAAAATGAAATAAAAAAGGTTACTGAATATTTTGGCATACTTTTCAAAAAAATGGATGTATGTATTTTCGTGTATGTGTGTAGATACAATTTTTCGTCGACGATTTTGAAAGCACAATTTAACCAATTTAAATTATTTAAAAAGCATTCGATTCCTATTGATGAGGAGGCGTGCGGGTTAGTTTTTGGCAGAGGAAGGTCCAGCCGTTTCGAAGATACGGAGTAAATAGTGCAAAAAAGGCAATTCAGTTTTTAAGAGAACAGAGTTTTTAAGAGCATCCGCTTTGAATAAATCAAAAAACATTTCACTTGTATGGACGGAATGAATAATTCTATAAAAAAATTTAAAAAAATCGTATTTATCAGTCAAAAATGATTTTCAGACATATGCATATTAAATTATCAGATATTTTATAGAGATTTTAATAATAAGTACAAATTTTGTTTACATTTTTATGAGTTCCGTATCAATTTTATAATGTTTAACCGTTAGACTGGGATGCAGCGTTCACGCGCTTCGTTATTTTGACTCTGAAAAGCCACACAGCGCGATTGCTTTGAAAAAAAATTAAATCTATAAAATAAAAATTACTATACGAGAAGTTCCAGCAATTTGCCTTTGCCGATACCAACCTCGGCCAAGTTCGATATCAAATAGTATTAATATTATATTAAATTATGTTAAATAGTATTAATATTATATTAAATTACAGATCTCAAATATAATCCCACGTGAAAATCCTCTTTTGCGGGTATTTCTGCCTCAAATACAAGTCAAAACTATTAGTTACACATATCTAAAATGTCGTACTTAGTAGCATAAGACATTTATCCTCGTACTTGGTACTTAATAAAAACTTGGTACTTAATAAAAATTTGTTTTTACATTGTATTCATGCCCTACCACTTGGAAAATAAAATTCTATTCTGTAAAATGACACAGTGTAGCATACGCTGCTAAATTTTTCATGTGTCAAAAGTTTCGTATTATAAAAAATAATATAGGCTGACTGATATTTTTAATTCAGTTATTTATGTAGGTAGTTGACCAAAGTTTTGAGAACAGCGATCAAAAGTAGTTGGTCAATAAATTTTGCATTTTATTTAAATAAAATTCACGAAGACAAAAATCTCAAAAAAATTACATCAGATATTTACTATTTGCTAAATAGACGTACTTATAATATGCCAGCTGAAGAGATAATTGAATGTAGGCATCCGGACTGACTTTGCACGACTTGATAAACTCCTTCCCGTAATCCCTGAAGCGGTAGACGAAGAAATCTAAATCCTCAATTGCGCTATTAAAAAAAAAATTAATATTAACGCATATCAATGTATTAATCTAGATGCATAGATAATCATGAAACATTCCATGCGTGATTAAAATTAGGGCATTACGTATTCTAATTAAAATATGAGATAAAAATATAAACATAAAAAAGCAACGCGTTATCTTGTAAATTTAAGTGATGATCTAATACAATACTGACGTATACTTGTTTTCATTCAATATCGAGTACTTTTTCTTATCAGTTAATTATTAATAATACCAATTAATTCATAATTGTATATTTTAAAGCATGAAATATTTTTTTTACCAATTTATATCGAAAGCTGCTCGTTTCAGACTTTGGTCCAAGGTAGCATCAACAACCCATTCCAATCGTTGAGGTGGTGGTATGTGCGAATGAGACACTGTTGAATTCTCGTCCTTAGAACTATCAGCATGATTCATTAATTTCTCGATTAATTGTATCACAGCAATGCCTTCCGATGGCGAATGCTCGTAGCAAAGACCCCAAGCACCGTCATTGCAAATTACCAACTAGAATAAAAAAAAGATTTAAAATAGATGTATTGGTGATTCGATAACACATTATTATTCTAACCTGAATGGGTTTATCGAACCAACGATTTCCAGAGTTGAGATTGCTGCCTCCTCCATGTAACATCTGATGTGCCATGTTGGTCTCGTCTCGACCACTGTTAGTATTGTGCGTGGAATGATGCTCAGCCTGGTTATAATTGAAAGCAATAGGAAACGATTCGTCCAGGCAAATTATGCATAAACTGCGTTCGATGAGCTCTAGATTGTGCCGGTTCTTGTAATCAACTGTGGAGACAAAATTATATAATCAGAATATAGACAATCAGAAAATACAAAAAATACGTGAAAGGATCATATTCGCGCAAAATTAAATACTATAAAAATTCAAACGTCTGAACTATACTGGTTTCTGAGACGCAAGTCAATTCTATCTATTGACAATAAACTACTAATTTACAAGGTGGTAATAAAACCAATATGGACTTATGGCATACAATTGTGGGGCTGTGCAAGCAAATCTAACATTATGCTAATGCAACGTGCCCAGTCTAAAATATTAAGACAGATTACTGATGCTCTACGTAAGGAATAAGACCTTACACGACGATCTTCATATTGAATTTATAAACAGAGTTATAAAAATCAACAGTGTCTAAGGTTTTATAAGTTAGAACATCACTCAAACTCTATAGTCATTCAGCTTCTTGAGACACCAATTTTAATAAGACTGAAAAAGAAGCTGTCCAATGATAATATTCACTACCTTTAACACTACCATATCCTTGTACAAATAAACAGTATTGGTGATTCACTTATTGAAGTGATTTTCCAACTATCGATTTAATATTTATCAAAATAATTTATAATGTGTGTTTGGAGGTGTGTGTGTATATGTGTGAGTGAATGATATAAGCCAAATAGCTCGTAGAATTATACTGTATGCTGATCGCTATTGAAAATAAAAAAAATCTCTAAGCCTATGTGATTCATAGTATGTCATATAGGAGTCCCCTCCACTGAGGAAATGCCTCTGTAGATAATAATCTATGTAAGTAAAATAGCAATATAGCACTGTTTGTGCTTAAATTATGTTAGGTCTCCTGGCCATTTCTTTTAAGCCTTCTGTGGTCGGAGAATGTTCTTTGATTAATTGCATTCCTGGATTTGGACATTGGTTTAATTTCTTATAGTATGAATTGCTTCTGCTCCAAATTACGTCTTTCACGGTTGGTATGACATAATTTATGTAAAATCGAAACAAAAGCAATTCAATCAAATACCGAGAGTGTGAGCTTGATTTTTATTAAATAATTTATTACTTTTGATAAGTGTTTCTCGATCTCTAGCCCACTGCGTCCGTTCTTGTGATGATAGCAATCCTATAGGTGGAGAAGGTTCAAGCAAGCAAGGAGCGTCATTCAGGATAAAAAGTAACTGCGCGCATATTTCGTCCTCCGAAAGTCTTCCACGATCCGCCGCTTCCACAGCCAAAGAATACATCTAAAAATGTAAAACATGATCATAATAATAGATTCTATAATATTATATATAATTAAATATAAAGTATTCAGATGTAATAGTTAACATACTTGGTTACGGCACATTACAATGATATGAGCATCCGTATACTCGCTTTCAGGAAAAAATTGTGAATCAATGTCGATACCAGGTATTCTGCAACTTCCTAATAACCGGTAGTATTGTGCCATACAAAGCGGTTGCCCTTTTTCGTTTGAGGTACATCGTTCTTGTTCTAAGTCACCTCTATACAAATCAGAAATTAGTTTAATTGCAATATAATTAGATACAAATTATGAATATTGATCTTACCGTCTAAGCATTTCCTTATAGTCTACAGCACCATCAATAAGTTTAGAAGCGAATCTAGCGACCTGAACGACTGTTGTAAATTTTCGAGGTGGTAGCACCATACCCGGATTTGAATTTATTGGCAAAGGCAGTCTATTTAGCAAGTACATGTCATTTATCCAGTATTCGTAAGCCTGATATAATAATACATTAATTCGTATGTGCATTTACAACAAGTTTTATCAGGCGCATATAATAAAATACACTTATGGGTACAAGTTTTTGACTAAAGATCATATGTTATTTTTATTATATATATATATATATATATATATATATATATATATATATATATATATATATATATAAATATTTATAATAAAACACATTATTAATAAAATTAAATAACATAAAATATGGTGGTCTACCTCAAATAAAATAAAATTTTAATGATACGACAGAAAAAAATAAAATCTAGCGTAAAAATAAAAAGATTGAGTAAATAGAAGAATAAAACAGAACAAAAGTGCTCATATAAAAATAATTTTTTTTGAATCGGTTATTCTAGTATAAAAGAATTCTAGAAACATCTGGGAGTATTCTAGTATAGACGCATGAATATTAGATCATTTATAAATTATTGTAAAAAAAGGGTCAATCAATATTTTTACTATAATTATTTCTATAAGTTATCAATCAATGTCTAGTCATTATAGTAAGTTCACCTCGGAATTTAAGATACCCAGGTGTAAGTCTGTAAATACTTGTATATTGACACCCTAAAGTTATCTCAAAACCTACATATGGTATTGACACCCTACCATATGTAGGTTTTGAGACAACTTTTAGGATGCAAAATACAAGTATTTACTGACTCACAGCTGTGTATCTCGAATTCCGAAATTCCTACCTAATTTAAGCTTAAAGGACTATTAGAAACTGGACTACTAAAAGTAAGTAAAAAGAAACAAAAGTTAATAATTTTAAATATTAATAGTTGTTGAAATGGTGGGTCCCAAAAAATTGATACGTGATCATGCCCACGATTGGAGCCCTCCTAGTAATCCAAAATATAATAATATTATCAATCTAGAGTGACTTTGCACTGGTATATATTAGGATTAAGTTAAAAAAATGACGAAAGGGCGACTATTTAAAAAAAAGATCATTTTTATTACCACTTTTTGGTTTTTACTTTTTTTTGAATTAGCTAGAATTTAAATTTGGGGACGAGACTAGTATATGCCAGAGAGAAGTCTATAAAAAAGATTCTCGAAAATTTCAAACAAATCGATCCAGTAGAAATCGTGTACATCGTATTGAAAAAGACAGTTTTGACAAAAAGTAAGGTGACCATATTTTTCAAAGTCAAATCCGCGACGGCAATTTTTAGTTATGCTAATCCAGGACATCGGTGGGGGGGAGGTGTGTGTTAGTCGTTTACATTACAAATGCTATTCAAGAATACTATAAAAAATGTTTTTTTAAATGAATTTCTTTATCACAATTGCGGACTTTTAGTAAGAAGTTTTAGTAAGCTTTATACTTCGACTATTATATGCAATACTTCTTTATCGATGATATTATATCTTATACGTATTTTTCGATCTATATGTTCTATTCAATTTTCTTCATAATTAATTTGAAAAAAATAGCATCTGTTAGTTTGTTTTCTTAATTTTTGTTAATTTAACTATTAATTTTCGAAAAACTGAGACATCCGGGACAAAAAATCAAAATCCGGGACAAATATTGCAAGAAAAACCCGGAACACAAGGTGGAAATTCGGGACTGTCCCGGCCAATCCGGGACGTATGGTCACCTCACAAAAACGCGTTTAAAGTTACGCATAAAGGAAGAAAACAGAAGAGGATTTTCGTGGTCAAACAGCTGTATCTCCAAACTTAGCTCAAAATTTTAAAAATCCTCTTGTACACATATTCTTAAATAGTTAAACTTTGGAAATATGAAACAAAAGAAAAAAAGTTTTTTTTTAATTTCTTCACTAGAATACCCCCTGAATTCAGATTCTTCTATTTTTCATATACAAACCCAATTCTTTTCAATTTCCCGCTTCTGCTCCAGTTCTTTTTGGAGGGACTGCCCCAATCCTCCAGGCAGGCCGAAGGTCCTCGCCAGCGCCGATGACCGCTCGTATTGCGCGCCGCTAACAATGGGCTCAAGAAATGCGACATATCTCTCAAGTGTTTGAGCCAGAGGAGGTACCGGAAGTTTCGGTAGCGGTTGTGAAACCTCCTGCAAAATAATTATATCAATATTATATACAATATAATCCTCGTTGTTTTTTTATTGATTTTTATGAAATTTTATAATCATGTTCAATATGACAGAAAATCGGTCAGTCCTAAATTTTTACCTTTCTACCACAAACATTTATTTCGTTATAGTCATTTAAGCACACAAATAATTTTACATCTCAAGTTCAAGAAGTCAATGAAGGTTTATGGCTTAATTTATAAAAAAAAATATTTTTATCTAAGTCTAAATCTTTTTCCAATTTTTGGGGTCAATTTTTTTTTTCCTAATCTTTGAAAATTTATATTTTGAATTTAAAAAATACATGCAGAAACAATGTCGTTCCATCTTTTTCGCATCTGTCAAGTACACGGTATTAATTAAAAAATAAACAAGATATAACAATATTTAGACATCAAAGAAACGTCGAGAATAAATAATGTATTTTTAAAATACAATTTATTTTTATTTGGATTTCTTATATATATATATATATATTAGGGTGGTCCTTAACAAGGACATTCTCGAATTTCTTAGCTCCCAAGGGCGCAACTGCTTCTAAATCAATAAAAAATGATTCTCTAATAGTATTTAGCTCTTTATATAAACATTTAGATAGAACGCACAATAATTAAAAGTTTTATATATTTCTTACTATCATGTGTAAATTCATGCACCATCTGTGCGCCATTCAAATATTATGATACATAAGAATATTTATAAACCACTTAATCTCCAATTAAATCCATGTGGGCTGTTCTATAATATCTATTCATCATGGAATCAAAATAATAATTTGAGTCTCAATATCACCAATTAAATAAATATTTTACTGCAAAATTAATCTTGATGCCTTGGGAGCAAAGAAATTCGAAAATGTCCTTGTTAAGAACCACCCTAATATATATATATATATATATATATATATATATATATATATATATATATATAAAGTTTATATGTAATTTGTTTGATTGATCAAAAGTTATGAATATATGAGTAACAAACTATTTCATACAAATCAAAATATAATCCAATTAGGTGTGTACTTTGTTAAGAGACATTGCAACTCGGAACAAAAAAATCTAATTTTTCGCTTTAATTAATAATGACATATTTTATACCTTCAACAACGCAAATCCATAGAATCAGTATGATTGATTGTCAATATTCACTAACCGATAACGTCCAACAAAACTTTTATTTTCAATAAATGTAAAAAACACAACATTTTCTGCATGTTCAAACCGCTTGAATTGTAAATAATATACTATGAAATTTAAACAATATTTGCTATAGATATATGATTTATTTTTGTTTGTTTGTTTTATTTAAGAATAATATGTGAGTAATAATTGCGAAAAATTATTATTGAAATGAAACTAAATTGTTTATTGTATGCAACCTTAGAAATGAATATGTTATGTATTTTACAAACATATATATGAATACGCATATACATATACATATGATTATAAACATATACATATACATACATATATATATATATATATATATATATATATATATACTATGAAAATGATTCAATTATTTTGAATAAGTAGAATAAACTATATATTTTGTTTATTAAACAAAAGATATATAAATACGTCATTTGATAGAATTTCCCATAACTTGCTTTACTACAATTTTCAATATTTACACGTACTTATTAATTAAAGTAAATTAATTTGATCTTTAACTTATACTTCGTATCCTCTGCAATTTTTTTTGAATAAATTCTTAAAATAATTTTAATCTCTAAATTGAAATGGAAGAAGTCGTCTTGTATAATTTATTAGTGAATGAAAATATTCAAAAATACGAATATAACACTTATTATTAGTAACGGCCAGGCGACATCAAATAGAACACTAGACTTCTCTTCATGGAGTGAATTATATATATATATATATATATATATATATTTTTATTCTAACTTTTTTCTGCTTATGAAACAATAATTCAGAAGATATTATTGAATCTTCAATGCTTTTTTCAAGAAATAAAAAAATAGTAGAAATAAGTGCCCCATTCTTAGAGTACTCGAGTAAAAAAAAGTTTTCTAAAATTGCATCGACCCTTCCGATATAAGCGTCGCCTATAGACGACATCCACGTGACTACCTATGCACACCATTGTCTTCTATAGATGACATCCACTAAATATCCTGTCTGCAGGGGTGTCGACTATAAACGACACTCAGTGTGTCCACCCATGTTTTAATATTTATCACCCTGAATTAAATTATTGAGAATTTTAATAGAGTTGTTATTTTTACTTCGTTAGAGGTGTTTTTTTAAATTTTGAAATAAATTAATTAAAAATAATGTTGATGATTGTAAAATCTGAAATCTGAAAATGTGTTGTGCTTGGTCCGGAAAATACTGCCGTAGCAAAATTATTAAATTTTATCGTCTTATTATTATATTATCGTCATATTATATCGTCTTTTTATTTAGAAATTTTGCGGTGCGATGACCATTCTGTTACAACCCGTAAATAATTTTCATTGTGACTGCACAAACACATATGTATTAGATATTTACACAAATACTGATAAATATAAATATCAATAATATTTTATATATTCACTAATATTCATCAATAATTTATTTAATTATTTTAGTTTTTTAAACGTATAAAGCAATAAGTCTTTAATCCTATTTTACATACTTCATCACTTCGCATAATCAGACGTCTCCTCGATGGAATCCACCAATCCAATAGAGCAATTTTTAATTATAATCCTATCTATCTTAGAAAACACATAAATCAACCATATTCCATCAATTTTCCATCCTCTCAATAATTGATTTATTACGATATGCCCGGAATCCATGCCGGTGAGACTGATTACCCGGGCTTAGCGAGGCATTGGCTGATATTTATTTATGTCTGTATACCCGATAAAGGGAAATTTGTGGAGGTGCCATGGCTGAAGTAATCCTTGACCTTTTCCGATATACGTAAACGATTTTCCTAGTACTAGCTGTCACCTTCGTATATTAATTATTAATTCTATGCCCGAACTCTTTCCCATCGACAAACTGATTAAGGACAAACAAATAATTTCATAGGATTTATTGGTCTAATGCAAATATATCGTTATTTATTGCTTGTTTCATACGATTTGCAAACAAAATGTTATTGGCGCTGAACCTTATCATTTTACGTCCAATTAATAATTATGTATTGTTGAATAAGAAGGAAATATTGATTGCGTTTGGTTAAATCACTTGAACACGTAAGCGTAGCCAGAGAAAAATATTTACTGATTTCTTCTTATTTGGAAGACCACATTCTCATTATAATTAACCTGATAATCAAAAAACCAAAATTTAATTTAAGTTTCTGATTAGCAGTAGTTTTTTTTAACTTTCCAGAGGGTAAGTTATAGTAATGGGCCAAAAATCAAAAATGAAAATTTTTGCATATCTTCACGTTTTAGAGGTTTCTGAACATTTTGGCATACCTCAGAAAAAATGGATGTGTGTGTGTGTTTTGTGTGTCCGCAATTTATCGTCCACAACGATTTAAATCGTTCACATTCAAAAACATTCGATTTCTATTGATAGGGAGATGTGCTGATTAGTTTTTGGCAAAGACAGGTCCAACCGTACGGAGATATGAAGCAAAAATTGCAAAAAATAGAAATTGAGTTTACAAGAGAACGGAGTATCCGATTTGAATGATTCAAGAAAGATTCAATTTGTAATGACTGGGAGAAGTGGTGATTAGTTTTTGGCAAAGGCAGATCTAGCCCTTCCAGAGATACAGAGCTAAATGTACAAAAATGGCAGTTTTTGAGAGAACTAAACATTCGAGTTGGATGATTCAAAAAACTTTCTGCTGGTGTTGACAAAACAATTGCTTTTGGAAAAAAATCGTTTCATTTCATTTTTTTTTGCAAGATTTTCTTTGTTTATCAAAAACAATTCAGATTTTAATTTTAATTCTAGCTAAAGTTCTAAAGCTCACTTATATACTTTAAATAAATAATTTTAACGTTGTAATTCAGTTTATATAAGTCTCATAAAAATTAGACAATGTTACAGTATTCATAATGATCTATTTGAAAACATTTAATATTTCTCGAATATTTCGTTACGGTACGGGAGTTCCTGCAATTTGCACGATGCCGTACACCACTAGTTTGTTATACTTTGAATTACAACCTATCACACTAAGACATTCAGTGATTGTTTTGACATTATTATATGGCATTTTGAATAGATTTCAACACAGTAGTTGTCCAATCCAGTTGATACTAATTAACTATTCTCAAATTATTTGTTGACATTTGTGATGATCATATATGCAGCTATACAAACTAGAAGCGATTTTCACTTGAGGTTATATTAGAAATCTATAACCTCAAATGGAAATTTGACATCAAAGCTGTCTGATGTCGGGCTTTGACCGTGGCGGGTATTGAACCATAGAACCCGGGACTAGTTTGCGCTAACCCACGTCCGAACTGATTACGCCGCCGCTGGGCATAGTGCCCATATTGGTTTTCATTTGAAAATGCAATGGAAATATGTTTCCAACTAAAAATAGCTCTTTTCCAGCATGAAATTAAAAATTATCAGTATTAGAAAAATTCTAGTAATAAACATATATGAAATGTAGATTTGCTAACCGTTGGGTTGCCTTCTAAAAAATGGTACATAGTTAAGAAATATCATCACAACAGCTCATAGAATTCCTGATTGATTTTCAGAACAAAAAATGATATTTAGATTACATAATCAGTGTCGATTGCCAATAACTTCGAGTATAAGATCACAAGTTCATACTTTTTTGTTAAACATTTAAGTTTTCAGTATTATTTTCAGCAGAAGATTTGCAACCTCAATATATTTTTATTAATTATTTTAAAAATATCATATGAGAGTGAAATAGTGGAAAAATATAAAAAACAAATTATGAAAAAAACATTAAAAGTATATGGCATTGTGTCTTAAGGCAAATTGCTAATTTTGCAGTTTCTTGCTGTTTTTCATTTTTTTCAGAAATTGAAAAAAAAACGGACTGATTTGAAAAATAAAAAAAAAATTTTTTGTTGATATTCATTTTTTTAATAATTTTTTAGGGCTATAAAATTGAATCAATAAAATATTATTCAAAATATGAATTAATATTACAATATAACGAGTGACTCTTTATGAGTATAAAATAAAATTCAAAGAATAAATCCGCGTTTTTAGGCGTCCACTTTTCGCACTAAAAACAAACAAGTTTAATATTTTGTAATCACACGTGTCAATAAAATCGTCTGTTTTACAGGTTGAATATTTGATAAAAAACGGATTTTGAATCAGTCAATCGAAAAATCAAACTGTAAAAATTATTAATTCAGAGGGCACACATTTAGGTACGTATGCATATTCATATAAATTTTATGAGCATTTCGACCTTTCCATCTATTGTACCATTAATGGAAATCAATAAATTATGTATATATATATATATATATATATATATATATTTGTGTGTTTATTATAGGGTATTTTGATATTTGGCAATTTTTATTTTGTGAGCAGACAAACGCGTATTGTTTTCAGTAGCAATATCTTTGTGAAGTGATATTTTGTAAACATGGATTGTTTACATTTACGTATATATTTCTGATAAATAAATATATGTGTGTGTGTGTGTTTATGGGAATCAATTCAGCTTCATGAATTTGATAGAAACAAATGGTCTTTGGAACAAATGGAAATTGGAAAGTGTTAGAATCTAATATTTTGGTCCATCTATATTTTTAATTCAATTCGACATGTTAATTTAGTAATTTTTATAATTTATATGTAAGCTATTTTATTAATCTCCCGGTTGAATATATAGATTTATTCTAGAAGCGAGATATAAACCAAAAAATTATCAATAATTTATTTATTTAATTTATAATTTGAAGTTTAAAGATAAAAGTATTCATAGCATTGAAAATAGAAATATGCATAATATTGAAAAGAAAATATGCATAAATTTAATAAGAAAAATAAAACTAATTAAAATTAAAATCCGAAATGTTTTCGATATTCAAGAAAAAATATTATTTGTATATTAAAAAATAATTAAATTTTGAAAAAAAGCCTTCCCCAAAAACTAATCGTTTCTTCACACTGAAAACACATGCAAAACATTTTTTGAATCATTCAAATCGGAAACTTCGTTCTCTGAAAAACTACAACTTTTTGCACATTTTGCTCCAAATCTCCGAAACGGCTGAACCTGTCTTTGCAAAAAACTAACCACCACTTCTTCTCATCATTACGAACTAAATGTTGTTTGAATCATTCAAAACGAATGGTTTGTTCTCTCAAAAACTTAATTTCTATTTACTGCACTCTTTGCTCCGTATCTCCACAACGGCTGGACCTGACTTTGCCAAAAACTAATCAGAACGTTTCCTCACTAGTAGGAATCGAATTTTATTTGAATCATTCAAATCGGTTGATTTGTGCGCCCAAAATCGTGGATAAAATATTGTATCCATACATACACACACACATCCATTTTTTTCTAAAAATAAGGTATGCCAAATGTTTAAAAACCTTCAAAACGTGAAATTGTGCAAAAAATTCCATTCTCGATTTTTGGATGATTACAATAACTCACCCTACAAGGAGTTTTTTTTTTTCTTATAAATTACAATCTGTCTCAATAGAAAGACATTGAGTAATTAGTTTGACAAATAACATAGAATTTTAAAAGGAAAACCCAGTGTTTCACCTTTTATTAATGTACTAAATTATATCTTAATTAAATTTTGGTATAATAAAAAAAAAAGAAACTCAAATATATACATACAATTATAAACAAAGTACATTACACAGACTACATATACACAATACATACACACACCTATCATAGATAATATTGTAGAACAACTTATTATTGATTGAAGTGTTAGATCTATTAATTGCATTCTTTTTAGTCTTATATAAAGACTTACTATCAGTTCGTTTGGATGATACCCTACAAGAAGTTAAAAAAACTTATTTCTCAAATTAAATACCTCGTTACTACGGCTTTTGATCATTTACATTTCAATTCTACAATTATTTATTTGCTTCAATAATCGCACATATTGATCGCTTCAAAACATTTCAACCCTGTATATTTACAGATTGTTATCGTTATTTTTAGATTCAGTTCACCGTTATACCAGTTAGCAGAAAATAATGATCATTAAATTGAATCCACTCCTGTTACTAAATTATCATTTTTATTTTTACTTACTATTGTTCAAAATCCGGTCGGGAACGAGGATCGAATTCTATTCTCCATATAATAATCCAAATACATGAATGTATATATTTTATATATATACAGTCCCTGTATGTAACCATTTACTATTTATATAACAGATCTATGTGTACCTGTACACACAATGGAAGTGTGGGCCTGTAGCATGATGCTTCAGTATCGACTTTTCAGTATGAAGAGAGAACAAGATTCGGCATTTCGCTCTTTTGCACGAAGGACGGCCGACAATTTGCTTGAATCAGCCCCATGTAGCCCCCCACGCGATACAACCACTTAACCTTCCAACTCCGACGTATATATCAATGACCATGGGTGGACAGGGATATAGATCAACGGGGTACACATTTATAAATATTAACTGGTGGTACATGGCATCGTACCTTAAGGCAAATCGCTAAAACTTCTCGTACCAAATATTAAAATTTTTGGAAAAGATTCAATTTTTTGGAACTTTGAAATAAATAGATTTTTGAGATTTTTTAAATTTTCGAAAAAATTGAGAAAATTTATTTTTTTATACTTTGAAATATTTTAGAAATTTTGAACTATTTTTCATAGCAATCGCGATACGTTAGCTGCGTAAAACCGAAATTTTTCCTCGTATCTTCGGAACGGCAGAAACCTGCCATTTCCAAAAACTAATCAGCACCTCTCCTTATCAATAAGAATCGAATGTGTTTTGAATCATTTAATTGGTTGATTCATGTTCTCGAAACCGTATCCGAAATAAAAAATTGTATCCGCGCATACATACACACACGCGCTCGCACACACACACGCAGACACACACACATTCATCTTTTTTTTCTAAGGTATGCCTAAATAAAACATAAAAAGAAATAAAAAAAATCATTTTCGGTTTTTTGCGATTACTATAACTTACCCTACGGTAAGTTAAAGAAACAAGTGGTGCATCGCATTATGCCTTAAGACAAATTGCTGGAACTTTTCGTATCGTAGTTTTAAACTTTTTTGCAATTTTTAATTATTTTTGAAAATTTTGAGAAAAAATCGAGTTTTTTTGTTAATTTTGATTTTTTTTAAATCGATTTTTTTGAAAATTTTGAAATATTTTGATAATTTTGAAACTCATTCAGGTCGGTTGATTCACAATGCCAAAAATGCCGAGAGAATTTGTTTGAACTATATTAGTAAACATTATAAATCTCGATACGGAACCCATTTGTATTTATTATTACAATCGTAATATGTGATAATTTAATGTGCATATGTCTGATGATCATTTTTGTCCGCAAAATCACAATTTATTAAACTTTTTTCTGGATCAGCAAAACCGCTGGACCTGCCTTTACAAAAATTTTATCAGTTATTCATTTCGCCAATACAAATTGGTTGATCCGTGTTCCTGAAATCGTCGACAAAAATTTGTATCCGCACACCCACATACATTAATTTTTGCTAAGGTATACCTCAAATGTTCACGATAAAACATTATGATGAAAAAATTATAAACTTGACATATGGCATTTTACATCAGCATTCTACAAAAATTTCAAAATAAATTTATAAAAATTTTATAGACGCACACAAATATGTACCTAATTGGTTATTAAACAAGGATACTAACTTACCTAAAGTAACAGATTTAAAAAAAAAATAGAGGAAATACAAGAAAACGATGGACAACCACTGCATCGAACTAGCAAAACGCTTAATGATAGGAATTTTAAATTTAGATTAAAGAAAAACACACAGTTCCTACTTTGTTAATATTTTTTAACTTAGTATGAGTAAGTTTTAGCGTCAATAGCTTATAAAACCTAAAACTTTTTTATACTACTAATAATATCTAAAGGAAGTTATAAATATCAATTAATGTAAGAAATTATTTTCTACAATTGCAAATTATGACTTTGTAATTTTAATTAAATAAAAAAATGATGAAAAATATGATAATATATTGCCAGACTTGCAATCCAAAGGTATTCGGATCGAGACCTGGTACTGTGTCCAAATTAGTATACTTGAATTATAATATTTAATAGGCGTGAAGATAATAGACTAGTAATATGAAGTAGAAATGACTCCTGTTAACAGAAATATGTAAAACCGATAGAATAGGTTCTATATACTATAAGAAGTTGGTAAAGATTATAATATAAAAATGGTATAAATGCTGAATGTTCTAAGAAAGTGAGGCCAATTTAGAAAAACAAAAGCAAAACTTATTGCATATATTTGTTCTCACATCAATTTCAAATAAGAGAAACATTTTGCAGAAATATATGAGTTACTACAATTACAATTTAGCAAATTATTTCTAAATGATCTTCGACAGTCCCTGTTCGACATCCCACATGACCCATCATAGATAGATACGGATAAACGAGCAAGGATACAAAATGCGCAAAAAAGATGGATCACAATTGTCTTTTTGTAATAAAACCAGCCAATCTTATCAAGATCCTTTTCATAACGAAAAAAGTACAGAAGGATGAAATAAAAAAGCAGGAACGCTTTATAGTATTATACTACAGAACGAGAGTGGTACTTCGGAAAATGATGAAATATTATTAGATTTATATAATATATATATATATATATATATATATATATACTTTATATATTTATATATATATATATATATATATATATATGTATATATATTTTTATATATATATATACATATATATATATAAAATTTGTATATTTTATATTGATGTTATGTATTTTTATTAATATATACAATATTTTTATTGATGTTATGCCCGATTATTAGACTTTGTTAATACATATGTCAACATCAAATTCAGAATCATACAATATATATATATATATATATATATATATATATATATGTATGTATCTGTATGTATTACTCTTTCCGATGGTGAAAGGTATATATATATATATATATATATATATAAATATATATATATATATATATATAATAAAAGCTTTTCAACAGGCACCTAGCCAGATATTACAAAGAAAAACTAAATTATGTTTGTAACATTTTTTTAAATGTTTTGTTCATCTGTTGTTCCAGGCATCAATGCATAATGGTTGTTTGTTTTATTTTATTTTTATTTCCTGCAATTAAATATTTAATTATTTTTTACTAATGTAGGGGAGACTGGGTACGGTTGTGCCAGGGCGCAGTAGTGACAGTCGTCATTACAGCTAAACTATGCTGATTTTGAGATAGGATCCAAAGGGGTAAAATTGAAGTATGCTTGTTCAAACAAGTTTTCATACATAAGCATTATTTGTTGACCGCATTGCTTTTAAAAAGTCGAAAGTAAGTTTTTATGTATATATATATATATATATATATATATATTTATATTTATAATGTATAAGGATATCATATTAAATATAATATGACTGTTGCTTATTTGACAAAGTTTTTTCATTTCCTCATCTTTGAAAAGTTTTTCGAAAAGTTCTTCTTAACTATAATATTTTATTCATTTCGTAATATAAGTTACGAAAAGTTTTGAAAAAATAATTGTTTATTCTCCATTAATTCCACTTCCATAAATACATTTTTATATAAAAAATCCTATGAATTCGTAGAGTTTGGCATTTTTTATCATAAATATCATTTAAAAATCTTAAATTATATGGTTGACAACATGTTATGACAAAAATAATTAATTAAATACAAAATAAATATTTGTATAGTCGTGAAAGAAATGGTCGAATGCATATGAAGAAAATAAAGAATATTTTCAATTTAAGAGAATTGCAAAACAATAATATAATAATATAATATTTGAGGAAAAAATGCTAATCTTGAAACCTGCATTTAGTCAAAGCAACAATATTATTATTAATTTAAAAATTTTACATTTGAATTCGTCAAAGGTTTCTAAACAGCTTGGCATATATTAAAAAAATGGATGAAAGTGTGTATGTGTAAATGCGTGCGTGAATGTGTGTTTATAATATGTATGTATGTATGTTTGAATTCAATTTTTCGTTCACGATTTGGGTAGCACAGATCAACCAATTTAAATTATTCAAAAAGCAATCGATTCATATTGTTGTGGAGACGTGTTGTTGATTAGGTCCAGCCATTTCAGAGACATAAGGCAAAAAACGAGCATCCGATTTGAATGGTTCAATGAACATTGCACTTCTATTGGCAAAATGAACTTTTGACTTAATTTTTTTTTCAAAATTGTTCCAGCATTTTTTCTTAAAGCACACACAAAGCCATACACCACTAATTAATGCATTTTTACATCAAATAAATATCAGCAGCAAAAAACGTTTTGAGCCAATACATATAACTAAAAAAAATTCTTAAAAAAAATATGAAAAATAAATTCATCATAAATAACAAATGACTAAATCAAATTCTAAGTTTAAAATTTTGTATTTAATAAATTATATATTTTTGACGATTGCAATAATACAATAGTATTATTGCAAACACTGTGCTAAAAACGTATCATAATAGCCATAATTTAATAACGCGAGGCAGAGGAAATGGTAATTCACTCTATTAACATATATAATAGTGAAAATAAAATAAAACTATTACTATTTCAAACTGACCTCGTTTTTCGTCGAATCCTGACTTGTTGAGTACTTTGACACCACCGCAAACCATTTCCTCGGCAACGAAAGAATAGAATCTCTCCATTCTGAAAGGAAATGTACAAAAACTGTTAGTACCACTATACATGGAATAGACAAATCTTCCGTAGAACGTACTTCTCAGCCCATAAAAAGCATTATTGGACTGAAAACACAGCGCCTGTAAATCAGTAAACTTCAAGAAACGTCTATGGTAACGATTTTCTCTTCAAACCCCGAGAGAGGAATATTTTGTACTGTACAAGGATAAAAATAAGTATATAAATGTGTAATGGTAAAACATTTTTACAATAACGTTAAAAATATGAAGCAAAATATGCTTTTCACATCAAAGTACATTAACATTGAACAAATGACTTTTGACTTAAATATGTCCTATTTCTTGAGTTTGATAAAAAATATCTCTAATTTTTATTGCAAATTATTTTAACATTTTCCTACCCTAAGTTATTTATCATTTCAATTATTTCATATCATATTCTTTTTTTGATACTGCTCTTAATTATTATTTTCCAGAATTGGGATTTAAATAAAAATTGTGCGACGGATTTTTTTT